GCATCCCGTACACGATGCAGTCTAAAGGAGTTTCAGCAAGGCTGTTGAGGAGTCCTTGAACCAAAGATGATCACCAGAGGAGTCCCACTGCCACCCTGGGGCAGGCCTGCATTAGAACCCCTGCTGTGGCCCATCATTGGGTGCAGCCCATATGTACTGAGTGCAGCCCATATGTAGTGTTGCCTTAGAGCAAATGTTTTTGGGTTTCATAATGCAGCAGCTGGGCCCTTGGTCAGATAAGCTCCCAATGACTGGAGGTCTGCAAGGAGCATTCTCATGGCCACTAGAGGATTAACTCACCTTTCTTGAGGAGAACGCTACAGGGTAGGTACTCTAAATATTACCTTCTCATACATGAGAAACCTTGTCTAAGGCCACATAGCTGGGCTATGTGATGGGCTAAGCCATCATTATTTTCTAGAACTGACTGAATTGAAAACTTTATTCTCAACCCCTCTTCTTCCAGTTTCCCCTCTACTGCCCATGTTGATGGCTGCTTCCTCTTTGGGGCATCTCACCATTGCCACTGCTATCTGTACCCCAATGATGGTGCTGTTTTCTAGACCCTCTCCTTTGCCTCCTGATGCCCCCAAAGACACAAGCCCCCAGGATCTGGAGGCGTGCTGCGTTCTGGAATCCTCACTGTACCTGGGCACTGTTGGCTTCTGCACAGAAGCTGCCTCTCTTGGGCACCAGGACAGGATGGGTTGTGCGTCTGTGTTAGTTATATGTTCCTGCATAACAATTTTATCACAAATGTAACAGCTTAAAACAACTCACATTTATTCTCTCAAAGTTTCTGTGGGTCAGGAATCTGGCTCAGCTTAGCTGGGCGCTCTGCATCAGGGTCTTACAAGGCTGTAATCAAGGTGTTGGCCAGGACTACAGTCTCACCCAAGGCTTGACAAGGGAAGGGTGTGCTGAGCTCATGATTGTTGGCCTCATTTAGTTCCTTGCAGGTTGCTGGACTGAAGGCCCCAGTTTCTTGCTGGCTGTTGGCTGGAGGCTGCTCTCAGTTCTTTGCTGAGTGGTTTTCTTTATAGAGCAACTTACAGCATGGCAGTTTGTGTCTTTAAGGGCAGCAGGAGAGAGTCTCCTAGCAAGATGTGTTATAATCTTATGTAACACAATCACATACATCCTAAAACCTTTGCCTTATTCCACTGGTTAGAAGCAAGTCAGATCCTGCTACACTCAGGGAAGGGGATCACATAGGCCAAGCACATCAGGAGGTGCAGGTTGTAGAGGCCACCCTAGAGTCTGTATATCACAGCTTCCCTGTTGACTAGCATCTCTAATGAAAACAGCTCCTTGAACTGTCCTGAAGCTTAACTCTCCATGAAGTACAAGTCTACACAGGGGCAGCTGGCCCAGGGGATTGCCCCTTGGTAACTTCTCCAACCCTCCTTTTCTCCTGTGGTTCAAAAGTTCCTTTCCCTCATTGAGAGTGACTCAAACACATGAGATGCTGAGAGCACCCCACCAGTGTATCACACATTGATGGTAGACAATCCAAACTCTAGTGGATGAAGCTGAGATCCTCTCCATATCCTGTTACATGGTGTTTGAGCATGGGAGTGACATGATTGATCACTTTATGATAACTTTTAATTTTTTTATTTTTATTTTTAAAGATTTATTTATTTTTAGAGAGAGAGAGTGGGGGGGGGCAGAGGAAGAAGGAGAGAGAGAGAATCTCAAACAGACTCCCAGCTGATTGTGGAGCCCGATGTGGGGCTCAATCTCATGACCCTGAGATTATGCCCTGAGCTGAAACCAAGAGTTGGATGCTCAACCAACTAAGCCACCCAGGCACCCCTATGATAACTTTTTAAAACAGCTTTATTAAGATGTAATCCATACACTATATAATTCATCCATTAAAAGTGAACAATACAATAGCTTTTGGTATATTCACAGAGTTGTGCAACCATCCCCACAGTCAATTTTAGAACATTTTCATCATCTTAAAAAGAAACTCCACATGCCTTAGCCATTACCCCCAATTCTTCCTTCCCCCCAGCCCTAGACAACCACTAATCTACTCTCTGTCTCTATAGATTGGCCTATTCTGGAACATTTCACATAAATGGAATCATATGTGATCTGGCTTCTTTCCCTCAGCATATTGTCATGGTTCACCCATGTTGTAGCATGTATCATATGCCTCATCTTATTTATCCATTCATGATTTGATGGACATTACGTTATTTCCACTTCTTGGATATTATGAATAATGCTGTTATGAACATTTATGTATGAATGTATGTTTTCATTTGGGTATATATCTGACAGTGGAATTGCTGGGTCATACGGTAACTCCAAATTTAACCTTTTAAAGTACTGCCAGGCTATTTTCCAAAGTGGCTGCACCACTTTACACTCTTACCAGCAGTGTATGAGGGTTCCAATTTCTCCACCTCCTCACCAGCTCTTATTATTGTCCATCTTATTTGTTTTAGCCATCCTAATGGATGTGAAGTGGCATCTCATTGGAGTTTTGATTTGCATTTCCCTGATGGCAGATGATAGTGAGCAACTTTTCGACATGCTCATTAGCCATTTGTATATCTTCTTTGGAGAACTATCTCTTCAGATCCTTTTCTCATTTTAAAATTGGGTTTACAATAACTTTTTGACATATTACAAAAGAATATGTTCACCGAAGAAAACTTAGAAGCTATGTATAAGCATAATAAAAATAATAAATGCCATTTAGCAAGCATATATTGCAAACACTGTCCTCAACTCCTTCCATGCTTGCCCTATACCACAGAGGTAGAAATAACAATAGCTAATGTTTACTGAGCTCCTCTTAGGTACCAGGCTCTCTTCCACATAGCGTCTCATTTAATCCTCCCAATGGCCTTTCCGATTTTCACCACACTCAGTTTTCAACAAAGAAACTGAGTCACAGAGACATTAAGTAATTTGCCTACCTGCACACAGCTAGCTGGTGGCAGAACCAGAGTTTGGACTCAGGCAGTCTGTCTCTCCAGCTTTTGCACTCAACCACAACCCTGTGCATTTCTGAATCCAGAGGCTTTGAGCAGAACCATTGCAGTACATTGTTTTTTTTGCTCTCCTGAAGTGAAATAAAGTATCTCCTTTGATGATTATTATTTTCTTAATGCAAAATGGCAGAAATTTCCCTCAGAGACCGCTGAAGGTTTAGAAATTGTTTAATTTCCACTGACTTTTCTTTCTTTCTTTTTTTTTTTTTTTAAAGATTTTATTTATTTATTTGAGAGAGAGAGAATGAGAGACAGAGAGCA